GATTACAAGCAGCATCAAGGTCCAGGACCAATGAGACATCGAGCTCTGCGTTAAAGCAAACAGGAGGAGAAAAAAATTATCTCAGGTTTCAGGTAACAACACAAACACAACCTGAGGCACTTCGTACCTGCCACTGGCAGGAGGAATATCTCAGCTTCACTCTGAAGGGGCCCCAAGCATGGCCATTGTGCAAGTACCAACTCAGAGAACCCAGAGGATGTACCTGCCCCACACATTTGGGAGCCTTTGTTCCCGTCTCCAGCTCCCAAGATTCACACTGTTCCCATAAGCTGCCTCTCCTAACCCTGCCAGGAATTCTCACGATAAACACTGTGTACATTGTTTGTGAAACAACCTGCAGGTGTTTCACAACATTTCCTTCCACGCTGATAAGGAACTACACTGAAACACTTTAGTGCACTTTTTTGGTTGGGCTGTGGCGTTCCCTGTTGGGTTTTATTTACTTTACTGAACTCCTTTCTTAATAGCAAACAGTTCCAATTCCCAAATACGACACTTACCAAGTCATTCTCCACTAGGAAGGAAGAAAGATCTACCAAAACCCACGTTGGGATCATGAAGAACACAGCATGGCACCCAAGGATGTTCAGCAACCGGAGATGATGGATTCGGGAATCTCTTAACACCTGACAAAAGCCATTATTGAACAGCAGTCAAGACACAGTAACAGCTTTAGGTGACAGATAAATTAGAAAAATAAGTAAATACTGTCAGAGTATGAATTTCTTATAAGTCTGACCAAAGAAAAACAGATGTCCATTTGAAAAAAATATGCTTTTTTGAGTGGTGACTCTTGGTATTGATAAGATATTAATATATTTTTAAAGCTCTACAAACCAGAAATCATTTTGTAACTAACTAGAGCCAAGATACACATTTTAATTTTGCTTCTAAGATTTCAAGGAGGGCCCAGTGTTGACGCTGAGTCGTTCACTACAGAGAAAAGATCTGATACAAGATACATTAAAAGCTTTCAAATGAACTGTAAAATTTAAGAAATATTGAACAGTCAGTACAAAAAAAAATCTATGATGAGGAGTAAAGAAAAGGCTCAGGATAAACTCTGAGTTCTGCACAATTTTCAGCTTCAACAGGTAGGAAGAGCTGCAGGAACATGCACATGAAACAGCAACCGCCCCTTTGGGCTCCTTTGACTGTAAAATCAACTAAAAAAAAAATATATATATGTACTTGCAAGTACATACTGTCCACTAAAGAATGATGCTACTGAGCAACACCATGAACAGCAGAAGTGTTACCTTCTTTGAGAAGATGTTCTGAAGGGAAAAGCACAGAGTAGCAGCAAGTGCACTGATGAGTCCCCACATGTCAAAGGAAAGCTCTGTGACGGTGGCCAACAGGACACCAGTGATGATGGGGATCAGAGACAGGTACACCTGGGAGAGGAAGAGAGGAGTACCTTGCATCTTCTAAGAACTTTAATTTCAACTACGTTTATACATCCTGATGATTTGGGGGGGAAAGGAGAAGGACGAATAAAGCAACAGAACCAGGGATCAACTTTTATACTACTGTAGCTTAAGGAAATTAAGTAACTAAAATAGACACTATAGAGCATCACCTTGCTCAGTGTTCACGTTTTACATTCTTAATAGAAGGAAAAGGAACTTGTAAAATCTGCATAATCTAATTCCAGCCACAAACCCCACCCAGCCACCCAAAGCCCGAGCTCTGCTGCCCCAGCCAGCACAGCACACCCCAAACAGCACCAAGAGAAGAAACCTCAGCAAACCTGTCCGCACCTTCGTCGTCTGCTTTTCCTTCATGATGATCCGCGAGAGGAGAACCACCCAAATCGGCATCGTGGCTTTCACTGGGGACGGTAGGAAAACATCCATGGGGACCCCCTGGGCCACGCTGGGATATCCCTCCCTGTCACCCTGCTGGGCACTGCTACCAACACAGGCTGGATCTGGGGGCTCTGGGACACTGTGCTGGGCACCCACAGGAGCACACACCAGGTCCTGGATGCTGGATCTGGCACCAGCACCCACTGGGCACTGGGACACCTCACTGGGCAACCACGGGAGCACCCAGTGGGTACTGGGACACCTCACCGGGCACTCGTATAAGCACACACGGGGCTTCAGGTGACCGCACCCGGACCTGGTACCAGCACACTCTGGGCACTGGGACACTGCGCTGGGCACCGATGTGAACACACACGGGGCTTCAGGTCACCGCGCTGGGCACCAGCACAAGCAAATGCGGGGCCCCAGGACACCCCTCCGGGCACCCCCCCGAGCACAGCCCGGGGTCAAGGCACCCCCCGGGCACCGCCCGCCCCTCGATCCTCACCCGTGTGCGCGTAGGACACCGGGACCCTCCAGAGCGAGACGTGCGCGGACACGGAGGCGAAGTACTTGCCGAAGGCGAGCGGGAGGATGTACCGCGGGTACGCGCGGGGCGGCAGCTGCGCGGGGCCGGCGGGCGGGACCCTCCAGGCGCGGAGCAGCGGCGGCAGGAGCCCGCAGAGCCCCAGGATGTGGAACAGCGACACGGTGACGGGCCGGGGGAAGCCGCCGAGCAGCAGCTTGTTGACCACGTTGCCGCCGGCGCTGAGCCCGTACCAGGCGAGGCACAGCGCGGACACCCGCGCCCCTTCCCGCAGCGCCGGCCCGCGCCCGCCCCGCGCCCCCCCGGCCCCGGCCCCGGGCCCGGCGGGAGCCGCCAGCGGGGCCGCCATCGCTGCGGAGCCGCCGAACGTCAGCGCCGACAGCGCGTCGCTTCCTGGGGCGGGGCGGGCGCGGGGCCCCGGCGGGGCCGGAGCATCCCCGTCATTTCCTCCGCACCTGCCCCGCGGCCCCGCCGCGCTCCCCCCGCGCCCCCCCGGCCCCGCCACCCCCGCGTCCCCCCGCGCCGCATCCCCTCCGCACCCCCGCGTCCCGCAGCCCCGCGCCCCGCGGGGGTTGAGCCCCGGGAGAGCCCCGAGGGGTTCTAATGACCCGCGGGACACAAAACCGCATCAAAAGCCCCGCTGGGAGGGGGTTTTGCAGCGCTGCTGAGCCCGGCCCGTGTGACAGCGAGCGGCGCGGGGCAGGGACGGAGCGAAGGTCACGGGCTGGGAGCCACCGGGACATTCGCTGCTGACCTTTAAAACTAACTCCGGGAACACGTAACGCCGGCTGGGGGAAAGGATGGGTGAGTACCTGGCAGGCAGGAGGGGTTCTAGAGCCCGGCTCATCCACGCACTCTGTCAAAAGACGTTTTTGCAGCGTTAATACCGATAAAAACATGCACTTCAGGTAATGGCGATTCCCAGAAGGTTTGCTGATGAGCCATTTCGTGTCATGCACTGACAAGAAAGAAATGGCAGCGTATTAACTTCAGGTTTTAGGACTAGAAGGATAAATTTTGCGAGAGAGGTAGGAGAAAGCAGTAGCAGAGTAACTGAGTCATGCACAAATGAGAGTCCACAGCAGGTACGCACATGGTAAACTTCATTTGAACTTGTTTACAAAATTGACAAAAAAATATCACCTTGTAAACTTATTCACATTTGTAGGAGCTCACAGAACTGGTTATACTGGCATGCTGAAATAAAGATTGTCAAGCCTCGTCTCACCCTGGATGACACCAAGTGAGTTGACCTTTTAACAGCAGCAACAAACTCGGCATGGAACAAGATTTAAAGCTTGCACTGGGAAGGAGTTTCTCCAGCGGTTTTGTACCACAGGGAAAGGGCCAGGTCTGATTCCTGATGCTGACTCAAGCAACTGAGCACCAGCAGTTTGTTGGATATAATCTGAAAGCTGTGATGAACTTCGGGCATCACCTCACCAAGTGTGGTCCTCAAGGGCCATCAATTGCATCAGAAATGGAAGCAGTGGAGAAAAAGATGGAGTTTTATCAAGTGTAATGCAATACTTTGTCATTTCCTGAAGTTTGCCCTCTAGTCAAAGGCCTCAAAAGAGCACAGACCCTGTTCCTAAATGGGATCATTCAGGGAAGGAGGGAGGAGGGGCAGAGGGAGATAAGATGCACAGTATTTTTTTACATAAACAAAACTCAAGCATTTCCAAAGTGACCAGCAGCTCATCCCTCTACCATCAAATCTACCACTCGGAACTGCAAGACAGGAGCTTTCCCCAACTCCAAACCACACTGGCTCCACCTCATCAACTGCAGAACAACAAAATGGAAGTAAACTGAAAATATACTTGGAAGCATTTTTTTGGTAACCACTTTTCACTCCCAGACCTCAGATTTCAGAAATGGAAGCACAGAGACATCAGGTTTCTGAGACACCCACACATTTCAGTAGCAGTCAGATCACAAAAGCAGTAGGTTTGAACAAGAATGACATAAAAATAAACCAAACCTCATCAGTTGTATTCCAGGGAATGAACCAACTTAATGTGGTCAGGAGCACCCTTCTGTGAAAACCAGGGAAGAGCCTGACTCTGCTCTCAAAGGCAGGAGAACTCTTGCCAAGGCTCTTCTCCAGCACAAACGGGTTAACAGCATTAACATCACTAAACCTGGGAATATTTTTGGTATAGTGTCCCCTGTTCCCCTGGGCAGAAGCCCAGCACTGGGGACTGCAGAAAACAGCCAGTCCCAAATGCTAAAGCAATTACAGGTATTAAAATCCTTCACTTTCTATACCCAGGCTGCTTCAGAAAGCACTGTAACAGTGAGGAATAAAATATTACAAAGTTACTGAAACAAGAAAATGAACTCTGATTCCTTTAGACTTTGAGGTACATTAACAGCAATTGGGTTATCAGTCTCCAGAGTTAAAAACAAAATCTAACCTGTGTGACTGAACACCACCAAGGTACTTGGAAGACATCCCATATATCCCTAAGAGTTGCTCTCAGCAGTGTCCATGGCATTTGGCTTCACCAAACTGCTCCAATGGATTCCTAGGGTCAAGGGTCCCTTGGCTGGGCTGAACTGAGCAAACTTGGAGGGGGGGGAGGAAAACGAGTGAAATATAAATAATTCACAAACTGTTTTGTGCAAATTTTTTTTATTTCCACATTTATATCACAACGTGTCCACTTAAAGGACCAAATAGCAAAGTTGCTCCCTTCTGCATCCCAGGAACACAGAAGTCTAGTTACTGTACATTCACTAAGGCTCTTTGTTTTTGCAAATTGCGTTTATGATGGATATCCATAAGGCAAACAATATCTAAAGGAATGGTAACAAGTATATTTCCAGCATACAAACAGGCTTCCTTTTTCCCTCTCACAGTACAGTTACAAACTTGTAGCACCCTCATTACATTTAGATTCTAGAAAAGGTGATTTTTCTTTTTATTTTTTTGTTCTTTTTTTTTTTTTTTTTTTTTTTACCTAGAAGTTTGCAGGAAGGGAAAAGGAGGAAAAATATTTGGCTGGTGGTGGTGGGATCAAAAAATATCGTTAAACATCTAGTTTTTGCAGCATTTCTCAGAGACTGGATTTAAACTGAAACCAGACTAAAGGATGTGGATGCCTATGGAATGTTGAGCTGAAGCTGGAGGCCCAGCCTGCAGTGCAACACCTGCTGTTTAAAACCCAATCTCCGTTTACCACATGACTTTAGACCAACGCAATCATGTTCAGAGATGTGATAGAAATAAAACTACAGTTTTTGCACATTGTCTCTCGAATATCTCACTGCCAAATAAAAAAAAACCCAAATCAAGTCAAATAAATAGATGCATATTTTGTTAAGGTAACTTCCACAATTTTCTCTGTACCTGCCTGTACTAAGATTCCGGCATTCAGAAAGTGCTGGAAATCCTCTTCACTTCTTGGGGACTAACACTTTTTATAGCTGGCTGGCTATAGAGTTTTGAACTCACTGATCAACCTTCGTATGCCTTCCTTTGCAATTGTTAGTAAACTGGTAGCAGCATTTCACAAAAGGAGAATTTAAAGGAACGAGCTGGAAAGGCCCAGCTCCCTCCCCCCCTCTGCTCGTGGGGCCTGTTTGTCCAGGACAGGAGGCTCTCTCCAGCTGGAAGTGGCATCGTGTCTGCCAGTTTTGCCAACTGCAGGTGTAAAAAAAGCAGGGTTTTAGCAAAAACCTGCTCTCAGTCTAGGCAGACGTAAGGCAGGATGTTCAACCTCCCATCATCCCCGTGTGGATCTAAGGATATGCACTGTGTCCAATCATACCAGTTACCCTGTGTGTCATAACAACCGTTCACGCCCGGCCAGTTGTGGTCACGTATCCTGTCGAGGTCATCGCTCGTGACCTCCCTGGTGACCCCAGGCAAGTCTGTAGGTTTGCTGTTAGGAGCTAGAACGTGAGTCTTTCTAGCCTCTTTTCTAGTGCTTTCCTCCTGCTTTAAATACTCAGACATGAAGTAGTGAGCTCCTGGAGTCTGTACTCCTGATGAGGACAGCAAGCTACTCTGTCTGTTTAAATATGACTGAATGATTTCATTTCTGGATAACTCTTTCCAGTTCGTTTGTTCAAAAGGGCTTTGCAGGTTGGGTTTTTGCTCCTGCTTTTCCGTTTCTGTCCTGTGCTGTTCAGTAAGTGCAGGGATTTCTACCTGCAAAGGATCTTTCGGTGTTAAAGGTTTTATCTGTCCTGTCATGGGATCAAAAGTGAGTTTTCTCTCTTTTAACCTCACAGGTTTCACACCCCCTTCTGTCACGTGCCCATCCAAGTTGACTGTGTAGTCTCTGGGTCGGTACCTTTTCTTCTTTTTACTATCAGACCCTGAAGCAGCATCGTCACTGTCCATTTTGGAAGTGTCCTGCGGGAAGCCCACGTGTGGCAGGAGCGACTCCCCGGGGTGGGTGCCAGCCTTGCAGGTAGGAGATGTGTGGAGGGTCCCCGCTGGGTGCCTGTGTCCCTCAGGAGGGACCTGCTGCTCCTGCCAGTGCTGCGGGACCTCGGTGGCCGAGGGCTGGGGGAGCTCCAGTCTCTTGGCTGGCAGTGGAGGTGTGGGTGGTTGCATCAGGGATGGTGGTGGCGATGGCACCTGTGCAGTGTCTAAGAACTGAGACCTCTGAGATGGACTGGGCATCGAATCCTTTGGTGAGTACGTGCTGTGCTGCCGAGCAAAAGTATCCTGCCTAACATTCCTGGGGCTAAAGGAGGAGCAGCGAGGGCTCTTGGGCTGGTGGGGGCCCGTGGTCTCTTCTGATTTATCATGCTGCTGAAGCACTGCAGTCTTTAGTAACGAGGAAGTGCTTGAAGGTTTTACAAGTCCTGGAGAACTGGTGTGAGGTTTTACAGCATTTACTGGGATCTTATTGTGTTTATCGTTTTCACTGAGTTCTGTCCTGCTGCTCTCGGGCCCCGTGTGTAGATTTACGTCTACAGGACTGGGAAAATTTTCAGGACTACCTCCAATTCCGTTTGTTGGAGGAGGTGAAGAGTTTTGTAATACTTCATGACTAGCTTTGGAGACTTTTGGGGGAGGAGGGCCCTGCTGCCCATCCCTGTGATCGCCTTTCCTTTTCCGATTTCCCAGTTTCTCTGGTTTGGGAGAATTCAGTTTCTGTATGTCATTCCTGCTTTTCAACTCGCTGATGGGCTTCGCTCCAGCCACAGCAGGAAGTTGTGTCTCTGGTTTGCAGTTGTGAGCACCTCCATTCGCTGATCCAGGTGGATTGGGGAGCCCTCTTGGCACTGGGTCATTCTGGGTCACGGGTTCTATCAACTTCTGCCAATTCCGCAACAATTTCTTGGCACGTTTGGCAAGTTCCTCATTGGATGTCTTCTTCCTCACCTCATTGATGAGCCTCCCGAGTCTTGTTTCCTACAAAGACAGACAAGTTGTTTTACAAACAGGTATCATCACCCCAAGAAAAACTCTTAAAGGAACGTTTCTGCTTTTGCTCACCCTGAGAAATGCCTGGTTAAAAACACTAAAGATTTAAGTGTTGAATTGATCTTTTCGGAAGGGATTAGTCCAGCGCTCGGCCACTCAACATGAAACCAGCTGTGGGTTTCAAGTCTTTATTCCCTGAGCTGGGAAAAACATCAGAAAGGAATTCTTTAATGAGAAAGAACATTGAGAATAAAGGTGTGAGTTCAGATGCAGCACCCAAAAGGTGTGTGTTTACCACAGTGAAAGTCTAGGATCTGCAGAAAGAGCCAAGAGAAAAGAATTCCAGGGTCTTTGCCTGTTACAGTAACAATTAACAATAAAAATCTCCATTTGCCAAAGCTGACTGCTAGGTGTGACATGTCCTACCTTCCTCCTCCACCTCTCCTCTCCCTTCACTCCCAAGAATCTTGGAAACACATGGAAGAGCCATTTAAACAAATTCCTGGGGTGTCCCAAAGTGGTTTTGTGAGCGGAAGGAAGTGAAGTGTTTGATTGTTCCCAAAGCACATTTGAAAACAAAGAATTGTTCCACAAGTCAGATTATTTAAGAAAAGGACTTCAAAGGAGAACACAGACCAGCCTGGGAGAGAAATATGCAACCTGTTGGGATACATATGTTGAAATAACAGGTGGGGTTGTAATTAAGCAACAGTTAAAAGCAAGGAACACCGCTAATTTCAATACAAAGGGTGAAAAAAAATATAAATCAGCCATAAAACTTCTTTGGGCTGTTTCTATGAGTGGCCAGTGAGACTGCAGCTCTCCCACACCTGCTCTCACCAAAAAGATCAGGTATTGAAACCTGCTTAAATGAATTTAAGATTGATTTTAAAGACACACAGCAACTATATTCCTATTTCAGATTTCTGGTGCTTGGTCACCAAACATCTACGAAGGTGACCAAAACTGCAGAGTCACGTTGCTGAAGGCACCCAAATTCATCAGTGGCAAGTGATGATTAATGTAGTGCCCTGCACAAACAGGAACTGTGCTGCCCAGAATACTGATCTGGCCCAGAAAGGATCCCTGTGTTCAGCGAGATGTCGGAAGCAGCACGAGAGGGACAAAATAATATCTTAATTGTGAATCCTTTGCAATCCATCTATTGTTTCCAGAAAAGCTCCAATGGAAATCAGAAAGGCAGAGAAAGTCCTTTTATACACACAAAAATCATGTTCAGAGCGTGACATACCTCGAGTGCCTCTTTGGTAATGGGATATTTCTCCAGGCTGGAGATCACTTCCAGCACTGCCACCATGTTATGGATCTGCAACAAGGAACACAAAGTCACTTCATGTTTCATGTACAGGTCTTAGTTATCAAATGTAATTTAAGACCTTCCACTTTATAATTGCTGGGAGCCTTAATCACAAACTGCTATCAGACTGTCTGGCTTTGGGGAGCTGATTGTTCAAGAAATAGGGACAAGGACACTTTACTGACCTAGATGGAAGCTGCAGGAGCTGTAACAAACACACTCTTATGTAAAACTCAAGGAAACATTTGCAATTAAACAGCTGTGACTTAGTAGCAAAGTTCTGAGACCCCTGGGCAAAGCATCAATTAATTGTCCTAACGGGAAACAAGTGCCCAGCAGACCAAGAGCAGCAGCCACTCCAATGGGAAATCTGGATTTTTTTTAGGCACCGCTTCAGATTTACAGAAGTCACTGTTGTACAGTTTTATTCACCATATTGCTGCTTCCTGTGGCTGCACACCAAGAGTCTCCAGAGGCTCCTGGGGCCGGGGCTGTGCCCAGCAGGTGTCCCCAGACCATTGTCCGGACCGGCCGCGGCTCCTCCGGCCACTCCAACACCCCCGGGACCCCCGTGCTGGGGGGGAACACGAGGAGGAGGAACTGCACAAACCCACAAAAATCACATTTAAAAAGTGAGCATCAGGTTTTCTCATGGGCTGCACTGCAGCATTTCGGCCCCATGAGTGAGCTGCACACAAACACAGCTCCCACAGTCTGAACATCCCCAGCACATGCGTGATTTTAATCATTTTAATGATTTCCACAAGGAACCCCAGATCCACGTTTTAGGGACATGGGTTACAGGTGAATTTGGTAATCTTAGAGAGCTTTTCCAACCTAAACGAGTTTATGTTGGAAACACAGAGATCCCTAATTTCCATTACCTGATGTTACAAGCACTGAAACCCGGAATTTCTAATTCACCTTTGGAGGCAGATTTAAAAGATAAGCACAGGAAAACTTGAATCACAGTCTCATTTATTGCTTAATTGCATTTGTGACTCAACTGGACATGAAGTGCATGTGAGAAAAACCTCTCAGCAAGAACCTCTGCATGGATCCCACATCACCCTGAAGCCTGAGCAGGAGCATCACCAGCAGCTCTGTCCCCCAGCCACACTCCCCTGCAGGATTCTTCATTTTAAAAAGACCAAACTTTGTAAGAATTGGCTTTTTCAAGTCAGTTCTACCCTTCCCCTAAGATACAACAGAAGAACCAGGAGCTGAAGTCTCTTTCTTTCAGGAAATCTTGGGCATAGACCATGTTCTGTCCATCCCAGCAGACCTGTTTAATGCTGAGGGTACCTGGATAAACCTGGCAGTGATGAAATATCTGCCCTGATTTTCTGATTTATTTATCAAACTTATGTTTAAAAGTCTATACAGGCTTTGAATGATTCTAAGTCTTACAGGCTGTGAAACCAACTTCAGGCCAAAGATTAATTAATTTGTCCTGGTTCTTTCTTCACTGAACTACGTTGTCTCTGCAGATATTTACAGCCCTATCACGAGGTCAGGTCTGGTAAAACTCTGCTTAACCTTTAGAGCAGCAATAGCACCTATTCTGACATATTTTAGTTTTCACTATTTCACTTCAGTGCACTGACTTTCTTCCATGTTTTGATCCTTGCCCTGCCCTCAGTGCTCAGGAAGCATAGTTTAGCACCACAGTTTAACTAATACATAATACCAGGGTTGGGGTTTTTTTCAGTTTCTAGCACCAGAGCCCTTAGAATAGTTAATGCTCAATTCTGGGAGTTTCCAGACACATTTTTAAACTTGTAAAACATGATACTCTCCTTCCCAACACAGATTTTAGACTCTGCACTACCAGGGTGCAAAAGGCTCTGCATTGCATACACCAGTAATTGATACAACAATTTTTGCAGTTACTGGTAAGCCCCAAATATTCATTATCTAAATGACAAACTGATGGCAAAAAAAAAGGATTGTCAGCCTATCAGGAAGGGGAGAGGGATGTTGTGTGTACACACACCTACAGAAAGATGAAAACAGGTCAGGGAATTTCCAATAACAGCTTTGCCTTTGTTCAACACACACGAATGGATCCCCCCAATGGTAAATCACCTCCCCGGGCCTGGGTCTACACCAGGACTGACAGGCTGGGACTTCCCTCCCTCCTCTGGGGACATGTGGTGCCAATTAAGGACAGTGAAAGTGGCTTTACACCACTCAACTCCTGCTAAAACACAACCCACCCGTTTGGGATTCCTCACACATTTGTCACCAATGCAGAGCACGAGGGCTCCCAACATCTCACACTTCCAGCAAGAAGCTCCTCTCATTTTCCCTTTTTTCACCTATAGGAAAGTTTGGTTCTTTAAAAATAAATAAATGCGACGTTCAGGCAGGTTCAACAACTTCTTCCCCCTTCCCCAGTAGTTTCCTTGGAACGTTTCAATGAAACTGCCATAAAGAGGAGTTTATAATGAAAATCAAATTGCCTATTTTAAAATAACACAGACTATGAAGTTTCTTGGGGTGCAGTTAAACAGCAATGGAAACAAGATGACCTCCCAAAACACTCCAAGTATCACCCATTCCATGAGAAGACACCTTTTGGGATAACAGCAATATTGCACACCAGCATCTTTACCTTAAACCATCTGTCACTGGCTTAATAAAATTCATATATGTCACATAACCAACATGAGACTGACTCTACAAAACCTACCAGAACCTTCCTACTTTGAGCAGCACCAGAAATGTCGATTTATTAATACAAAGGGCTATTGAAGATGCTTATTGGATACACAGCAAAGTTCCACAGAGCAGAGTGGGACAGGGAATTTTGGCAGCCTGGCTCTCCAGACCCCGGTCAAGAGTGTAACTGCACCAGTCAGTGCCTCAAGAACTTGCATTTTAGTTTCCATTTGCCTTTGTCTGCTTGCACTGCAGCCCTTAGCACCCCCCAAAACAACAACTGCCATGAAGCAACCCCAGGACCTGCATTTGGGAGCTTTCAGGAACCAGCTCAGAATAATTTACAGAGTGTTCCCAATGATCCCGAGCCGTTCCCGTGCTGGGAGCATTGACTGGCACAGACCAACTCACTCGAAAGTTTACTGCAGAACATCTGCTTTGAGTCATCTGTGATAATCCCTTCCAGCCAACCCTAATGACAGCCACAGAAAACAAATCTTATTTATTCCATGCAAGGCTCCTTAAGTCATCCAGCCATTCAGCCACACTCTGGAGCTTTACTACTGCTATCCAAGATCTTTTCCAAGTTAAGCACTAAATGTTTTTACTCCAGCCTCAGACAAAAGCAGGGGTTTCTGAACTCTCTGGAAAAGATCAAGCAGCTTAATTTCCTTTTCTTAACTGCCGTCTTAATCCTATTTTAGCATTTATAAACCAGGACCAATTCAGTAACTAACTTCAGGGGAAGTGTTACACAGCAGTTTAAGGGGGGGGTTTGGGAAGTTTGAGGTACAGCTGCTCCCTCCCACCTCCAATTCCAATGACACCTTCCATGGGAGATGTGAAAACAGCAGCAAGCTCAGCATCCACACGAGCTGCATCACCATTTCCACATGCTGGGATGAGTTTTCTGTTGGACCAGCACGCTCCATGTCATGTTTTGATTCTCTTCCTTCACCTCCAGACCAGTCCAGATCCCAAACACAACAGGAACACCCATGTAACACCTCCCTGCCTTCCCCAGGACTGCCTGGACACAGCACAACCTGCACTCCCTCCACTGCTGCCTGAGAAACAAATGTTACACAAACTTTCTACTGCAGTCATTTGGATAAAGCAATTTCAAGTTTTGGTTGTTTTTTTTTTGTTTGGTTGGGGTGTTTTCACATTTCACAGGGATGTTTCTAAAGATCTCTGCATGCACAACTAGACCAGATCTGAGTTAGCAAAGATGGCATTGCTGAGACACTTAGTTAGGCCTGGAGTAGGAGAAGGAGCAGCTATTTCTGTGTAACATGAAAACATTGGTGCACAATCGCAAAAAACTTGCAGTGAAACTGCTAATGCAGTTTCCTGCCCACTGTGTTCTGGTAGAAAGGCACTTTTGCATCACAAAGTTCACATAACAAGGCTAAAAGGCATCTTTTGATACAGTTTCATCGTCCACCTGGGTCACATCAGCACCTTTACAAGTTTTTAAAGGGTATTTAAACTTGGTCTGCTAAGTCCAGAGTCCCCCATCACTGACACTCTGCTGAAACCAAAGTGTAACACCATCATCCTCCCAAAATCACAGTTAAATAATCAATAACCTGACTCCACTGTGGGCCAGGTGAAACAGAGCTCACAGGTATCACAACACACTGGCTTGGAGAGAAAGTATTTGCCACCATACTTCAACTTACTTACTCAAAATATCTATAAATACTCCAAATGTTGCTGGTTTCAAAGAAGGTGCTTTGGCATCATTGTCCCACCTGCAGCAACAAAGCAGTTTGACAGAAGCAAGCAGAGAAGTGGAGACACCACAGAAGTCTGAACAGCTCTTCCATCTTCCTACAAATCCAGGTGTCTATTGCCAAGCTGGAGTTTTCTGTTGCCAGTCAATACAAGGAGGGTCCACACAGTTCACAGGAGCATTTGTACAGTTTTTGTTGTCCTCCCCCTGCTCCTGGGGCCGGCAGCACTTCATGGAGGAGTTCCCAAACTGTCACAGGTCACAGGGCTGTGTACATCCTCAGGAAAACGTTCAAGAAAATCCTGGGTTCAGGGTGAATCTTGCTGAAATGGCCACGGAGGCAGAACTGATTCCAAGGAGGTGCAGTGCCCACTCCAGGAGCGACAGCATCTGCTGCTGTTCCTTCTTTTCGGAGCTCTCGGCGTCACCTGCAGCCAAGCACCAACTCCTCGCCCACACTGGGGTCCCCCAGCAGTGCCACATCTTGCCCCCAGCACTGCTTTTGTATAAAAGCTACTTCACTGCATAATAATCTAAAATATGGAATAATAAGAAGAGAAAAGTTGCTGTTTCACAGGAGGCTTTATTTGAACGTGGCAATGGAAACACAGCGGTGCAGAGTTTATTCACCTCACAGGTAATAAGATAATCAGACACTGACAACACACACCAACAGGAAACTGGAATGTAATTTTTGTTCAAAGATACAGCCCAAACACACCAAGTTAGAATCCAGGTTACAACATGCTGGTATTTAGTTCAGTTCCCTTGCAGCTGATCTATTAACAGTTCCCCCTACCCCCAACCTGACACGGTGTTGTCTAAAGATAGGGAACACCAGACACTACTCACAGCCACCACATACCAAAAAGATGATCATGCACTACTTTGTTCATAATCACTGAAAATGTTTGAAAGTCAGTTTGCCAAGAAAGTTCCAATACTAACCAAAGATATTCTTGGAGGTAGAGGCCAGTTTTCAAATAGTATTTTAGTAAAACAGATCTTTAAACATGAAGAAATCGATGGTTTGGGTTGAAAGTCATCCACTGGGAATATCTTCTATGATAGACAAATTCATTTGGAGTCCATGCCTTAAAAAAATGATTAATTTGTGGTACAAAACACAAGTAAAAGGTAGAAGAAATCCTTCTCGACCACCAAGAACAGTCCAAAGAGTGTCCAGGCACAATAAGCATTATCTGTACCTCCAGACTTAGAATTTCCAGGCCTAATTTAAAGAGTCAAAGCAATTTGCATATGTCTTATCTATATTTAGGCTTTATTCAGTGGTAAAGTAACATCATCCAGATTCCTTTCTGTGTATACACTTTACAAAGCCAGGATCAAACAAGACTAAGGGCAGGTTCCAATAAAATTCTGTAATGCGAAGAAACGGCCAGAGCTGAAATATTTCCCTGGAGTGGGTTGAGCCCTCTGCTCCCTCCTGGCAGTGCCCACACACATCCCTGGGCTGTGGAGAGGCCACAGCAGCCAAGGGAATAAGGAGAGTTTGCCAGCAGAAACAACACCAGAAAATACAACTGGTCCCAGCACTTACAAAGGGCCTGGAGACACAAATCCCCAGCAGTGGAAGTGCCACCAATGCTCCAGCTTTTCTCCCCATGGCCCATTCCCAGTGACACATCCAAGGGCCCTGACACAGCAAGAATACACTCCATGCTTGGGCAAGGCGAGGAAAACCACCCAACAAGAGGAGTGTCCATTGGAGGAGCCATTTAGAAGACACAAGAGGTGGTAAAATACTGACTGTGAAGACAAGACACACCCCCAGCTCATGGGACAGAAGTGGCACTGAGGGAAAAGCTCCTGACTCCAGGAAAAGGTCTTTAAGGCCAAGAGAAAACATCAACAGTGACAGACTTTTCTCCATTTGTATTTATTAGCCAATAACTGGGAGACATTTTTGTTCCTGCAGAGAGAAATACTTGTCTGTCAACTCCAACAGTTACTAAGCATTTTGTATAATACCTTAGGAATTGTACCTGTAGTGCCAGCCCTCAGTTGCAGATGAAACAGAGAATGTGAACCCCCACATTTCTTTTTCCACCCCCACAAAAAACCCTGGGCAAATAAAAATTCATTAGCCTGATTTAAAAAGACCAGCAGCTGAAGAAATAATAATCAATTGGAAAAGTGCGTGGCACAAATTCCAGAGTAAGGGCCATGGAGCACAATGCCAGGCACTCACTGCTACTCTCACTGGCACCCACCAGGGAAGATAATTTAGTGTTGTTTTCCACACAACCCCAAACTGCAAGGAATGGTACAGGAATCAAACTGATCTGGAATTACATGTCCTTTCAAGGTGTGACAGTTCACAAAGAACATACACAGAGAGGTCAGAGGACAGAGGTGGAAAGAGGTTTTGAAAACATGGTTAGTAACAAAAAGTTTAAGTACTCATTTCACACAGTATTGAAAAAATAGGGATGAAACATGTGAAGCTTGAAACCAGCCTTCCTCTGCATTATTAGTCATAATAAAGAAAATGTTAATCAACCGTTTTCGTGCTCACTGGCCTGATTTGCAACAAGACAAACACTGATTACATATAAAATACCCAGAGAGCTACCAATGCACTCAAATAAGCTCTTCAATACTCTCCACGATTAGACAAGTTCTGAAGGAGCTGTTTTATAAAGGTGATGCTACTTCAGGGAAGGTCATGGACCACAAAGCTCCACCAAGACCCTTCCATGGAAGGTCCCCTACCATTCCCACCTGGGGAACAGATACACACTGAAACACCCATTTCTATTTGCTCCAAACTAGACTCAGAGTGGCAATTTAAGATTCTGTCCTCTCGAAGAGATCCATACAGCTGGAGCAGTTTGTATTATAAAGGACTTATAAATTCAATGCTCCAAACCTCCCTGCCCCAGCACAGTGCTCTGAGTAAATGTGAACCCAAAGGAAATGCCCAAGGTTTCCATCCCACTCAGGCTCTGTGGTCACTGTCTATCACCATTTCACCAACTCACATCCCCTCCAATCCCCTCAATCATTGCACTGGTCCTAAGGACACCCAACCATGATAGAGTTTCCTTTGTCCACATCAGAATCATTTCTCCTTCTCTTCCTCCTGTACAAAAACTTCAACCAGACTAATATTGGTAGTTACTATTTATTATAAGCCATGGACTGAGATCCAAAATTATTGCTTCAAAATTTAGAGAGCCATAAAATGAGGCTGCTGTGCAAGAAAAGTCACGGGAACAACTGGTCCTACTTCGATGAGACAGAAAGGCAGTTTGATAACTATTCAAGCAGAATAATACAAAAAAATCCAGCCTTAAAATGTGCCCCTTCAGATTTATCATGACTTTGGTGCTTTCTACTGTAAGGAACTCACCTGACCTCACTGTGGTACCTCCCTGGGTTATGGTAAGGGCACAGTCAGGCACCAAACAGCCCTCAAAGGCATTGCTTGGACAAAATCATTCTGTGATTATCAGCTCCACCTTAATCCACTCCAGAGTGGACATTTAAAATCATGCAACATGCACTGAAGGACTCGATGAGAATGGCTTCAAGGGGTCCAGAGCTTTCTGAAGTTCTTAAATATTATGTAACCCCTTCACAGAGTATCTGCTGAGAGCTGCTAACACGGAGCAGTTTATATTTGAATGCAACTCAGAAAGGCCCTATTAATGTCACCACAATACAGACTTTTCACTCTTTTCTTAAAAAATAAAGCCATCTATCAATGTATAAGTGTATTTTAAATGCAGCAGGCAAACAGTTATCAAATTCCTAGGGAAGCTTCTTAGACAATTACTTAAATGATGGAGGAATCATTTAAGGAATGATTCCTTAAAACGAATCTTAAGGGAGATGAGAGCCTGATGAATAAAATGTTGAATACATTGTAGAATTTATTAATTCATCACACTGGAGAGTAATATGCTCCTGTGACTGCTCATGAGAATTTAAGCATGGTGTGTTTGTTCACAAAACTGGAGAAAAATAGTCTTACAAACTGGGAAAGTTTTAAATGTCAGGTTTGCAGAGAAGTCACTGTATCCTTTCAACAACAGTTACCAGCACAACACTTCTGTCAGGACATACCACAAGGGAGCTCTATGGATATGCAAAAAAAACCTGAAATGGATTTACCCATCTCCTAGAATCACTGCTCATCAAATTTTAGATTAAACACTGCTGCCAGTCACCCACTTCCAAATAACTCTGTTCTCTGAAGACCGTGCAGGTCCTCAGGACAATCCCACCTGTCAGGAAAGTGGAGCCTTCTCAGTGGAGAACACTTGGCCATTGCAGCCAGTGGAAATACTTGGGAACAAAATGCCTTTTCTACCTTTGGATGGGAAAAAAGCCTTTCCCAGAGGAAGGTGAGCACGGAGCCATTTCAACTCAGGGCTTACCAGCTGAAGGGTTACTGTGAGAGCTGCCCCACTCCAGAGCTGAGTGCCCAGTGTTTTATTTGTATTTAAACCCAGAATACAGAATCATTGAATCACAGAATGGTTTGGGTTGAGAGGGACCCTAAAGTCCATCTCATCCCAGCCACTGCCATGAGCAGGGACACCTCTCACTAGACCAGGTTGCTCCAACCTGGCTTTGGACACTTCCAGGGATGGGGAAGAACATTCAGGAAGCTGCAACCTGGCGCTCGTTATTTCTAACCTTGGAGCAAAAAACTTCACCATTTCCACTTCAGAAAGCCCCAGTGAGGCTTAAGCCCCTTGGCAGCCTGTCTTAAAAAAGTCCAGTGAAGAAAATACAAAGTCAAAACCCAATAGCTCAGATTTGGACAGACAAACTCCTCCACACATGACAATGGACACCGAGTTTTACACAGTGCACAGACCCCTCCCAGTGTGCTCAGCCCATGAGCTGCAGGCACCCACCTTCACAAATGCACCTTAAACATCACCTCCTGCCTCTGCTCTTCCATCTCATTGTGCTCAACTCTATTCAAGAATCAACTGTAGTTTCTCCAAGGATTAACTATAATATTGAAATATTTTTTTCCTGGAACTGTCAGGATGATAACTTATATACAGAAATAAACTCCCTGTTCTTTCTCTTGCAGTTTAAGTATGGAGTACAAGGAGTGTTACACACTGATCTGTTCAAAAAGCTCTGCTTAAGCCATGGCTCGAGTTACAGATACTTGTAGATGTGCTGGAAGTTTGTTCACCAAGGAGAATTTATGACTGTGCATCACTACCCTGGGAAAACACCATGTTCCTCTACCTTCCATAGTTCTACCCTCCTTAACAAATAAATCAATGCAGACCTGTACTATAATTGTGATACTCCACAAGCTGATCCTGCATGGAAACTATGTGAGAAAGCAGCTCCACAAAGTGCTGGTTGTCACTGTCAGACAAGACTTCCACCTCTGCACACTCATCTTCACAGCAGAGCCTGAAAACACAGCCAGATCCCAGAGCCAGCTGTGGACTCAGGATCTCTCCTCCTCAGCTGCTGGGTTAGAAACCACTTTGCTCAGTAAAACAGAACTAATTACATTTTACTTCCAGTGACTCCTCAATGGAAACTGCTACCACTGACTGTTTGGACATGCTGAAAATTGTATACTTTGGTATTAACAATCACACTCCACTGCCCTGTGAAAGCCATGCCCCAGAAAACACCAATTCACTGCCGAGTTTAGCAGATTGCACCTCAAATTAAAGCAATTTGCTGGCACTTAAATATTGTTCCAGACACTGAAAGCATGAATTACCCACAGAAAGAGTAATTTAGCTGTTAGAATACTGAATAAACAAACCTATATTATATTAAACTGAATGTGAGGCACTTACTTACCTTTACCTTAAATATTTCTTTAAAGGCCAAGAGTATAAGTGGGGCCACATCATACCACGTTACACAGACAGAAGGAAGTTTATTTGGAGTTATCACCAAGCTCAAAATGGGTGAGAGGAGATAACAGCAAAGCGTTATCAGCCAAAACAGACATGTTTTTTTATGTTTAAGAACTACCCTGACATTAATTTTAACTCCAAGTCTTATATATTAGAGTAATTCTGCCTTAAAAGAAGTGCTTCTTGACTAATTTCCTCAGCAGGCAGAATCGATTCCTCCTTTCCCACTTCTGAAACTTTTGTGGTTCCTTTAAAATAGAAAACTCTTACTTGTCAGCTGCAGCACCTTCTTGAAGAAACTGGAAAAGGATCTCAGAGGGAGGAAAAGCTTCAGCTGCTCTGGAGCTACTCTCAGCAGGAGCCAAAGGGGCCAGAGTGACAGTGCTGCTGTCACGTGGCCACAGCAAAACCCTGAGAGAGGCAAGGACACACACACCTTACTGCTTCTAAATCGGGCTCACCCTCAACTCACTGGACAAAACCCTCACAAATGACCAAGTGGAGTTCCTTGACCAGGCCCAGACTTCAGCTGAAGATTTTCTTATTTTCTAATGCATAAGTTGGGTGTTTCTCCAGCTTGTGCCAGTGCCAGTGTGAGGCTGCAGTGCCTGGGCAGCAGGAGCTGTACCCCAGGCCCACCCCAGCTCCAGCCTCTGTGCTCAGCTCTCTGCTCTCCTGGGTTAAAGGTGTGCCAAGGTGCAGCCAAATGCCCTCATTCCCCCTGGAACACAGAGGTCCCCAGGGAGACAAAGTCAGAAAGCACCACCCTCGGGTTCTCTGCTGCCTGGGAAGTTTGGTTCAGCACATCCCTCCTGCAGGGACCCACATCTTGCACATCAGCTGTGGTTCGTGGGGACTGTCAGAGATTACTCCCCATGTTTAAGCTCCCTACAAAAAGCTGGTTCTTCCATCCACTGGCTGCTTCACGGCTACACCAATAAAAATGTGTTAATGGGTTATTTCCCTGCAGCCTCTGAGCATTCAGTGTTCACTTCTCACCCAG